TTCATTTACTCACAAAAGCCACCTGTCTGATTGTGCTTGAGAGTTTTTCCATAGTTTCTCTTCTTTTGTGTTTTCTTTCTTCTTTTTTGAACAGCAGGTTTGCCTCCCCCTCCTTTTTTTTCCCCTCTATCAGGAAAATACAATGGCTTCACTTATTTCCTAACGCTTAATCAGTGGACTGCTTCTGTCCTCCACAAAGATAAAAATGAGTCTTTTACTGCATGTTTGAATACCAAGAGATTGTGAAGTCAGAATTTTAATGTACTTATGGATGTTCATACTATATAATAACAGCCATCCAGCCATATGCATTATATTTATATATGCATTATATCATGTTTCATAAAGAAACTGTCTGTGGATTGTAAAAAATACTTCTCGCTTGCTGGAATTGATGGGTGTATTTTATTTCAGCTTACAGTTTGTTTATTATGACACAAATTTCAGGGAAAATTTAAAATTACAGGAACAGTCTTTCTACTCAACTGTTTTACTTTAGCACATTATCAGCTCTTTCACCCACACATGTACTCTTAATTTTCCTGGATATGAATATACTTCATTTAAAGGGTAAAGAGCAGTTCCCTTTCAAAAAATATATATATATGATATGATCATCACTGGTTCACATTTCATCATTATGCCTCACCAGTTTTTATCTCACCTCATCTTAATTGTGACTTGAAGAGGTATCTCTTTAGTGTTAAGCATTTTATCTCTTTGCTAAAAATTTCAACACTATTGAAAAAAAGTCCAAAATATAAAATGCTAGTAATTGTTTAATTATTAATGAAGTTATAGTTGGTTATAGCATTAAGCTACTAAAGTAATTTGAATTTATGCTTTCTAATTGTTTATTATTATTGGTTATTTTATGACAATATGTAAAGTACTGAGATAATACAAATCAGATTGGTGTATTAGAGAGATTTATTTTTAAGTTCAAGCAAATAACATAGCAATTTATGAACAAAAATTGTGGAAGTACATTCTTGTAAATATATTTTTGTAATTTAAATTCAAAAAAGTTATTTTAATTACAATATTATTCTGCCTTCAGTAATCACTATGAGAATAATTTATTCCTGAAAATATGCTTCCAAATAACAATATTCTAACAATCTTCTACTCAGGCTTGTTTTCACAAGTAGGCTTACAGACAAATTTGAAATTCCTTCTTCAAATTACAATTGTCTTAATTGAATTCTGGACCTCTCAAATAGCTTTCTGAGCTTTAGGCTCAAACTAACCTAAAAAAACCAGTAATGTTATTGATGGTCAGTCTTTCCTTAACTAGCTATAAATATAAAAAATTTGACCTCTGAATTATGCAGATCACAGAAACCAGTCTCTAAATCTTCCATGAAAAAAGTGGAATAGATCCATGGAATTGTTCTGTAATGGTTCATTATTTTCAGAGAGCAGTTTTAGTTGCATAACAAAAAGATTATATACCTCTCTAAAGAGCAGTTCATATATATACCCCCCAAAAATGAATTTCTTTTCTTCCATGCAACACTTGCATATAACCTTTAAAGAAAAATTCACGTGGTCAAAATATCAACTTCAATCTGTTTCTCTCTTGGATCTGTTTAGTAAGTTCCTACACAATCAGTTTACTTGGTTTCATGGTTACTAGATGATATCAAACAAAATATTCAAATGATTCAAAGATTTCTAAAGTTATTTTTCATTATGGTACAAAATGTCCAGTGTTGTTGTTCTAAAAGCTTTGCTTCAATCCTGTCAGACTTCACCAGCCAAGACTTCACCAGACTTCTGGTGAATGTGTCTGAAGGTTTTCTTTTAAGGCCAGCTTCCCAAAACATACTTCTTTTCAAAGCAATAAATTGTCTAGGCCAGCAATACTTAATAGCGAGTTGCTATGACCAGAGCAATTTTCAGTAGTGCTAATGTTAAGCAACAAGGACTGGCTTCGGTCAGGAATAAATATTTTTTTCAGGGAACAGAGCTGCACTTGGAGATATTCCCCTTGGAATTACAGCCAGACTGAAAACAATCACAAAATTCATCATTTTTTTATAAAATGCATAATGGATTTTGACCTTGCCTCATTAAACAGCAGTACATAGCACATTATTTATAAAATCTTTGATTTACTCAATGAATAATTTACGGGAGATGAAAATGGAAGAGAGGAGAATAGGAATTAAAAGATAAATATAAAAAATAACTATCTTCTTGTTAGATTGCATACTTCTAGAAATTTTTCTGCTGGAATTAATCTGCTCAAATGCTTATGTCAGCAATGTGTGGTCATCCTAGACTCTCTTTTTTTATATGTAGAGAAAAATTAAATAATTGTAAGGAGCAGTTCATCAGATGTCTAAAATACACATCTAAAATAAGTTGGATAAATGATTTCCTGCAGGGGTGGATTTATCTTTACTGACCATAAAGGAAGTGCAGGATGACCAGCTCAGATGTTGAAAACTAAACTGTTGATGTCTGACATTGTGAGGTGAATCCCAGTCTCTGAGAACAGTGTGATGAGACTGACATAAAAACTTGAATAAAACAAAATTGGCTGTGGTAGCAGGAACAGGAAACTCAACAAAAAATCTGAGAACGAATTCACTCATCGTCAAATGCTATTTCCACTGAGGAATTTATCTCTAGGCTGTGGGGGACAGCAACAGAGGAACAATAAATTGAAGCTCAGATGCCATATTTAGAGATTTGTTGTGGAAAGCTCAACTAATTTCATGAGATTCTACAGTTTCTAGAGAATGCTCTATTTTTTCACAGCTCCTTGAAACTACCTTTTAAGTATTTTTAGAAGTGGATGGTTCAAGAAACAGGCAGTCTGTCTTTGTGAAGGTAGATTTTGTTCCTACAAAAGTTCCTCTAACTCCCATCTATCTCATTTCTTGTTATACCAACCCTTTACATATATGTGTAACAAAGGAAAGAGTAGGAAACTCTCAGGATTTTCCATGTTAGAATATTATATCAGATGGTACTAAATGTGGGCAAGAACTTGCAGATAATTTCTCTAATTGTATCACCAGGTAGGAGTTCCTGCATCCTATCCTGTAAGTTTTATTGTTTGAGAGAAATCTGTGTGAAAGTAAGGGTAAAGATTTTCCCAAGTAGTTTATGAAGTCCATCGTATGTATGATTTTACCAATTTATTTTACTTGGAACAGCATGGTTAAATAGATTTAAGATAAAAGGCAACTTCTCTGTGAAGGATATGACTTGTGGTACAATGATTAGTGAGATAGCAACAAAACATAGCAGCTCTTAAACACACAGGTCTCCTATCACTAGTACTAGGTAATTGAAAAATGTTCAGAAGTAAAAAATATGATCTGATCTTTTTAAACAAAAGTAACTCACATTGTCAATATTAACTTCCATCCTGTAAATCTACAAATTTTATTAAAATAATGCCAAATTATATAAGGTTCTGTGACTCTCTGCTAATATATCTTTATACATTTTTCAATATTTTCATCTAATGAAAAGCTTTGTCTACACAGAATCTAGGTTTACTGAGATTGATAGCAGCAACAAATTGATGAAAATATTATTGCATTATGGTTGTAGCACAGTTACATGATGAAATGCCAATGATCAAGTCTCATTTTTATATGAATAAGCAATAAATTAAAACTCTGAAAGGTTCTTTGTATTACAGCTTTTTCAATAAGAAGCAGATGGATACATACAAGATGAATACTGCACATAGGCAAAGAGATAGATAATAATGCACAAACTTCAATTTATTTGTAAAAATATATTGTGTTCAATTATAGGAAGTTGCAAATACACAAAAATGTATTTCTGGAGATGAGGGTCAGAACTGAAAGCCACCAGCTTGTTACAGACACAGGATGGCTCTGTAGGGGACTTAGAAAGAGCTTCTTTAATGATTTGGAGTAATTTAGCATCTGAGCAAGGATATAATTTAATAGTGTTTGAAAATTGTATGTACTGAAAATAGTGATCTAGTTCCCCAGGAGTAAATTCAGAGTTGGGAAGGAAACCTCATGTGAAGACAGCCTCATTTGGGCGTATTTTCATGTAGGTCAGTGGACACATTCCTGGATAAGAGTTACCCTTAGAGTTACCTGACTCAAAACAAGTACTTGAATTTACAATATCTATTTTCTTCTTGACATCCATTTTTGTTATTTCTATATCAGTGGAAATGAGGGAGATACTGCTCACTATTGCTCTTGATATACATCTTTAGTTGTTGAGCTTTTTTTCTGTCAGCTCAGATGTAAACCCTAATAAAATGTTTGTTGGTGGTTTCTGTACTTTAAAGGTGGAAATCAGTGAATATCCTCATGTTTAAAGGATTTGTAATCGGGTAAGCTTTCTGTAAATTAAGAGAATACTTCTTTGAAATATATAATATAGAATGAAAGAAGCATTATTCCCCTATGAAGTATTTTTATGTATCTTTAAATATTAATATAAGGAATTGAGAAATCATTATTTCCTTTGCAATACTAAAAACTATTTAATTCCTTTGTGTACAGGTTTTGAAGCTTAACATATTATGGCACTTCAGTGATAGGCAGTTTAGTTTTGCAACACAAAAGAGTTGTTACTGAATTTGTGAAAAAATATGTAGAGTGCTTTTAGATCCCGCACTTGCAAAGTCGAAACTTTTTATTAACCACTAGTAACAGTAGTTCTATTGTAAAATAATATTATTCTCTGAACTACAGATTATGATGTGATTCTTCGAGATATTTTGTGAAGAGGGAGCTAGAATATTATGAAGAAATGGAGGAAAGTTTTGCCGTTTTATATAAGATAAAATAAATTGGTGCCTCTTGGAAACATCTCTTAATGCAGTTGATAAGTTAAAACAATACCACATTGTATACATCAGAAAGCAAGATAGGATGAAAATGTTTTCCAGGCAAATTTTATAAGAATTATATTTTAATATTTACTTTGACTTTTTTTTTTAAGTTAAATAACTAATCAGTCTTTCTTTTTTCTTTTTTCTTACATAGCAGATGGTACGAGAACAATACACAACAACAACACCAGGCACTAGCCTAGAGAGGCCAAAGAATGAATATGTCTACAAAATTGGCATTTATGGCTGGAGAAAGCGTTGCCTCTACCTATTTGTTCTCCTCCTGCTGATCATCCTAGTTGTGAATTTTTCTTTGACGATTTGGATTCTTAAAGTAATGTGGTTTTCTCCAGTAAGTGTCTTCTTTAATTTTCCTTTTTTTCACTAGTCATATTGTGTTTTTTTTTCCTGCCTCACTACTTCGCTAATTTCATATGTATGTCATCTTCTTTATATGTAATATGTGTTTCTTTTTTCTTCCCCAATTGTAATTTGTGGTTATGTTTAAAGTGTATGTAAAAATCCGTCTTTTAGTATATTTATTCATCTTGAATTCCTTTATTAGTACTAGTCTTTTAAGATTTTTTTGATGTGGATTTTAACTTCTGTGGAAAGGATGTGTTTTACTCTTGTCTTATAATCTCTGTTTATTTTTTTACGTATTTGCTCTAATTTTAACTTCCACAGAATTCCATAATGTTAAAAGGTTGGGTTTTTTTTAACTATCTTCTCTTTATAGGTATCTAAAATTTAACAATTTATTTGGCTAATTAGTTAAAGCCCAAAGGCAGTTAATACTACTCACACTTTAGGCCATGAAGCTATATTATTCCAGAATAAATCTAATAACTTTTCCTCGGTGATGTATATGTTAATATTTATAATGTAATTTTGCATGAAGCAGATTAACAGGTTGGAAGTCTGCAAGATGTAGCTTTATGTAGGATAGAGTAAAATGCATCAGTGAAAGCAAATCTAAGGTCATGATGCAGTTCTGATGTACAGATGTTTTGAAAAGAACTGCTACAAGAAAAGTAATAATAGTAAATGTCTACTGCTCTGCCCCTGCCATTGAAGAAAGAGAGTTACACTTAAGTTCCAATCGTCAGAGTGTTACACTTAAGTTCCAATCATCTATCTGTATTATCCCTCTGTCACTAAATGAAGGGCTTCTATAAATACATCAGCAGCAAGAGGAAGACTAGGGAAAATGTTATTCCGCTGCTGAATGGGGAGGGTACCTTGGTGATGGAGGGTGCAGGGAAGGCAGAGTTACTAAATGCTTTCTTTGCTTCTGTCTTTACTGCTAAGGCCAGTCCCCATGAACTGCAGGGCCCAGAGACAAGAGAGAGAACCAGGAGAGAGGAGGACTTTCCGCTGGGCGAGGACGATTGCGTTAGGGAATATTTAGGCAAACTGGACACCCATAAATCTATGGACCTGAATGGGATGCACCCAAGAGAGCTGAGGGGGTTGTTGCTCAGCCTCCATCATCTTCAAAAGGTCATGGAGGGCGGGGCAGAGGACTGGAAGAAACCAGTGTCACGCCAGTCTGCAAAGAGGGCAAGAGGGAGGAGCCGGGAAACTACATGGCACTCAGCCTCAACTCCATCC